TGCTCCTTGGCAGGAGTTTATTCAATCTGTTCCTCTTGGCTAGACCTCTTATTCTGGCTTGTGGTCTTATTTACAGTGTGATGGCAGAGTTATTTCCACTCCAGAGCGCAGTAGTGATACTGTCTGAATGCTTCAGGATGAGATATGGCTGCAGATCTGTGGAGAGCTGAACTTCATTTAAATCCTGCAAGAGCTACCTGTTATTTTTAGTCTCTTTATTTTATTTTAATTAATAGAAGGTTTAGACTTCTGGGAATGGGGGTTGAAACTTGTGGTCTCTTCTTGAGAGATGCTATTTGGTCTTCTGAACCATCATGTGAATACCCTTCTCCTGGACCTCATATGTAATTGTTTTCCATCATATTTGATACTACTTAAGGATTATATAGATACATAATGATGTGGGTGCAGTTTCTGTTTTACAGACTGAGTGCAGAGCCATGGGTTTGGCAAAAAGCTAGGGAAAAGAAGTTTTGGTTAGTGCATGTTTAGGGAGGATCTGTTTCAGGAAATCTTAAACCACACACTTCCAAATATTCATGCTGATATTGTAGAATGTAAATTTTTATTGTTTTCTCTCTTATGTACTGAAGACAAATTTGTGTCTTTAAACAGTGGGGAGGCAGGATAAGCACATTCCTTGAACAAAGTACATCCACAGAATTTACAGTGTGAGTTCAAATTATTCTGTGTTGGCTGCCTGTCCATGTGTATGGTTGTATCCCATAGCTGAGGTGCGGTAAGCTATTCCTCACTCAGTGACTTGTGATTGCCACTTGCATCAGTACAGCCACCAGTAAAAGTAAGGGTTTCTGTACAGGCAGGTCCTATAGGGCATTTTAAACACAATAGCTTGTTGCTTTGCAGCAGATTTGGTGTACAAGTCCTAATGTTGCCCCTGCCTTGGGTTAATCATTTTCAGAATAACTTTGATATGCATGTTGATTTTAGAACACTTCAAAAATTTGCCACTTGAATCAGGCACGTTGGCCTGCCTGTCGAGAGGATTATCTGAAGAGTGAAGGGTAAGTGACAGGCACAACTCAGAACCCTGCTGGCAGTGACACTTGTGTTTGCAGCAGGCTGTGAGTGTGTCGGCATGAGGCTGGCTGAACTGGTCAGTGGAGGTGATGAAAAATGCTATGGAGGCAGAGTTAAGTTTAGATAAGTGAGAAATTCAGTCTCAATATTCTGATAAAAACTGAGACCTAAGTACCTCTATAGAAAGTCTGGTGAGAAACTGTATTAAACATGTAATTTCAGTCTAAAAATGGTCATGTCAGGTAGTACGTGGGGAAGAACAGGGAACAACTGGGAAAAACATAACTTATGTAAAATGAGTAGCTTCATCCAGACTATGTTAAATAACAGAAACTCTCAAGAAAGTATTGACTAATTGGAGTAGTTTCAGAGATGGGTGAAAAATGAGAAATACCAGGTGTGCACCTGGAAAGAGACTGAAAAGGTGATATTTGTTTGAGGAGTAAAAATGAATAGGAGAATGATAGATACGTAAATATATGTGCATATACATACATGATTAATCTGGAACATCTGCTGCCACCGTCTTACAGCAGAAGAAGGAGGAAACATTTGAGTGAGTTTCTTACCAAGTTTTCTTTTAAAAGTATGTTGAAGTCAGTTATTGGGCATTCACCTGATTTATGGTAAAATAAATTCTATGTTCTTTCCTAACAATTGCATCAAGTTAGGTGTACTGCTTTTGTACAAGAGACCTACAAATGAAGGTCTCTTCATTTTGTGTTGTTTAAATCTCTTTTTTTTTCCCTACGATACAGAGCTCCCTGAAGATGTTTGGCTCATATTGCTTAAAAATGTCTGGACATTTGTTGTTTAATTGCTGAAGCTTTCCTACCACTTGCTTTTTTCCTGAAGTCTTAATCTTTTGTGGAATCGAAATTGGCTACTATGGTAAGTCATAGTAAAATGCTAAAAGTGGGTGCAATGTGCCAGTTTATTTTGGTTTTGTTTCTTTATTTAGTAGCAAGACATCAAAACAAACAAAAAATCATAATAGTGTACAAAACCAGAAGAGGAGACTTTGAACTAACTAACCAAGAAACTTTGTTCTGCATTGTATCTATTTGCCCTGTGCTTCTAAGTGAAGAATGAGAATCAGGTGAATCATTTGACAAAATTTTTTTGTGTGTGTGTAGATGTATGTGTGTAACTCATCAAACTGTTATGTATAAGTGTCTTACAAGTCTCTTCTAGACACTGCATTTTGTTTGAAATGCATTTGGATTTAATGCCAGTTGAAATTACAGTATTTAGAATACTTAAGGTGATTCACAGAACCATAGAAGTTTTGATTTTTGAGGAATAAAAATTGGTAAAAACAGGAACTGGAAACCCTGTAAGTAACAGGTGAGATAGAAAGATGACTGAACCTCTAAACAGATAAAAGTCCACAATTGTTTGCTAGAAGATGCAATAATACTGTATTTGGAAACTATATTTGTCCTTGATCTCAACAACTGTACCAGTTTTGAATAACCAAATGATACTTTGCAAATTTCAGGAATCAAGGCTAAGTAAAACCTGAGAAGATACATTCAAGATGATCCAGCCAGAAGACTTTTCACTTCATAGAAAGCTTATTTTTGTTTAATATGTAATACAACTCGCCAAAGCCAAGTTCAGTTACTTCTCTTGAAATTAAGACACGCCTGTGGCCTTCATCAGAAATGTTTCTAACGTTTTCAAGAAAAAATATGTCCCAGAAACTGAGTATGTTTTTACTAGTTTTTGGCATCATTTGGGGCTTGATGTTGCTACGCTACACTTTTCAGTATCCAAGGCGCCAAAGCAGTGCTGAGTTGCGTGGACAGATATTAGATCTCAGTAAAAGATATGTCAAAGCACTGGCAGAAGAAAATAAAAATTTAATGAATGGTGGTGGTGGAGCATCTATGGCAGGATATGGTAAGAGGAAAACAGCCTTACTAATTACCTGAATATGTTTTTTTTCCTGAAAGCTATGAAGTTATATTTTTTAGTTTTTGAAGTCATACATACTGCTTTTTAAGAGAAGAAATTCTCTGTGTTAACTGATTTGATTTTAGCTTATTCACTGAAGTTGAAAATGAGTTGTAAAATCAAGCTGCAGACATGAGATTTTTTTAATTACTGTGTAATTAAGCTTTTTCTATTATTTGTTTTAAAAAAACCCTTGTGTACTACAGCTTTCTCCTGCTGAGTAAGTCTTACAGTCTATTTCCAAATTGGATTCTGAGGTTTTCTCTGAAGTTTAATAAAAACATTAAGTCAACTCTTAATCTACATGGTGATCATCAGACTTAAAACTTGAATAGACGATTCCTTCCCTCAGACTCCTTCCTCTCTCTCAGAGAAGATAGTGATTGGCAACAGGAAAATTAACTTCTGTTGAAACATGTTACTGCTTTTGTGCTTCAGAATATGAGAATTTTTTTTACCTTCCTTTCTCTTGTTTTTGAAACAATAGAGGCATAAATATATAGATTCATTTTCCTTACTTCATAGTTTATGTAAGAAGCAATAAGATACTTTCTTATAGCAGCTTTTCAATGGGATACATCTGTTATTTAGAAGGAAGATATTAGCTTAGCTACCTTTTTATGCTGGAAAATATTGAGATCTATTCTGTTGTGTCCAAGGCTGTCATAGGTGGCATTTCTTGTGCTGTTGTCTGAATGAAATTTGAAATACTGCCTTTGCATAGTCACCTCTAATGCTCCAACTAGTGGTTTTGTTCTTACACTTGAATATTTAATTGGCTTCCTTCATAGTTCCCTATTATGGTGGCATATTCCTTCCATAACAAAACAAATAAATGGTATTAAAGAAAAATCAAGCAGCTGTTTAATTCTATGTTTGTACACTAATCTGCATTCCTTTCCAAAAAGTATAGCAGGGACGATAGCAAGTCTTAAGATGTGAATATGTTGAAAGAGCAGTTCTTTTCCACATGTGGTAAATAATAGACTCTAATTTGGTTTTTTTCCATTATCTTCAGCTGATCTTAAGAGAACAATTGCTGTTCTTCTGGATGACATCTTACAACGCCTTGTGAAATTGGAAAACAAAGTTGATTACATTGTTGTGAATGGCTCAGCAGCAAATGCCACTAATGGAACTAGCCATCAGGTGCCAGTAACTTCAAATAAACGTGTAAAACCAGCAAGCAACATTAGATAGCAAACAGGGCCCATTTGTGTTGCTGTATCTGTGATGGGTAATATTTAAGATAAGCTTTTTATCTCTGGCAAAGCAGTAGTTGACTCTCAAAGAAACGCAAACTATTCTATTATACAATGTGCTGGATCTACATAGGCCTAACATATGTGCATAGGTTCTCAAAGCATCATTTCATGGCCTTTGAGCAGTACTTCTGAAGTGATCTTTGTTGTCTTTAAAGATATTTCGATATCCTGATTTGATGTAGTCTGCCATTGGATAATAACAATACGTGGAAAGCAATGGGGAACTTATAGGACTTATAGGTAGGTTTCTAAATATATTTATTTAAGTATAAATATAACATATCTTTTGAATAGCTGAGCAGTATTGTAGCTTATTGATTTTTGTTGCGATCTGCATTAAGCCGAGGTAACTGAGGAAAACGCGTCGTTAAGCAGATGTTAGAAAATGTGTCTACTTAAAATATTTTGTTACTTATTTACTAAAACAATATGAAATCGAGGATAGCATTGGTGGTAATATTTTAAAATCGTGACCCAAAGAATGTCTTTATTTGCACTATCTGTCAGAATAGTTAAAGAGAATTTACTGTATATTTAAGAAAATTATAAGAAAACATTCTAGGTAGTAACACTGTCCAGGTTTATCTTTGTGCCAGAGTCAGGGCAGTTAGATTATCAAAAGCAAATCATAATCTGTGATATCTTAGATGATTATTTCTTACAAAGATATTTAAGTGTATGAATTTTGTAATTGCAGATAAAATTATTTAAGTGATGGAAATATGTTTTGGATATGTGAATACGGTTTATTTTTATTCATTGCTGTTTCTTTTTAACATTTTAGTACCTTGCAATTTGTGATGATTATAGCACACAATCTCCCTGAATTGCTTTCTTGATTAGAAGGAAAAGCAATGAAGGGAAACAAGGCATCTCTGCATTTAACAGAGACATATGTGCTAAGAGGTGTCTTATAATGGAATATTTGAGAGCTAAGGTAATGTTTGCCTTATGTCTAAGTTAGCCTTACAGCAAAGTGAATTGCATGCAGTGTGGATGCACTGTATTTCAAAATGTTACTGAAGTCATACTAATAAGAAAGTGCCACTGAGCCTGTTTTTTAAATTGTACTGAATGTCTGGGGAGGGAGGTTATGTTCAGGGACTTTTGCCAAAAGTGTCCTGTGAGTGGGGTTTTGGGGGTGGGTAAAACTGGAGGTGCTGGATGATACACCATCCAAAGTTATGTTTTTTCTTCTCTTTCCCGGCTGATGTTCTCATGGTTATAAAGGAAAATACACTTGCAACCTTAGTTAGTATCCAGATGATTTTTTTTTGTCACATTGTGTGTAAACATGTATTCACTTCAATGCAGAAAGAGAAAAATAAATTTTTAATTGTACTTGTAAATGTTTCTGTTGTTCATTGTTTTATTGAATGGTCTTGTTATTCTTTCTACCTGCGCTCTAGTGAAATGGATAGCCGGAGAGATGAGCTGATTCCAACAGGAT